TGACTCTTCCATTTTTGGCTGTGGGAGAACCAGCTCCAGGCCCACACTTCCTGCTTCCTGCCTGCCCAGCAGTTTTTAGCCATTGTGTCTGAAGACATGCACCACATACGTGATGACATGTCACTCCTGCTAGAGTGGGGGTCATCCTCTGTAGTGTCTGTGATGACTTCATGGGAAAAACCCCATCTCTCACAGGACAGAATGATTGAGTGGACCGTTCAGTCTGCAGTGGCCTCTTAGCCCCTCCCCCCCGCAAGCGCTCTGCCATTGCCCCCTCCGAGCCACACAGCTTTCTGCTTGCCTGGGGTTCTCTTGGTCACCCGACTTCCTCTTGGTCTGCATTCCGACTTGTTCCGCCTCCCATCGGCCCTCAGAGCACACGGGACAGGATCTCTAAACACAGATCTCTGAAACCCTTGGGTGTCCTGCCCTTGAGGTGTGGGTTAGGAGGTGAGTTATGATCCAGCCGTTCATCTTTGCTGTCTTCTGTTCTCTCACACCACCCACACAGTCTTCAGCTAGGGCAGCTTCTCTCGTTCTGCACACCCCACTCCCACCCGGTTTGCTTGTTTTGTTTCGTTTCGTTTCGTTTCTTTTTTTTTTTAAGATTTATTTATTTGTCAGGGAGAGAGAGCGCATGCACACAAGCAGGGGGAGAAGCAGGCTCCCCGCTGAGCAGGGAGCCTGATATGGGGCTCGATCCCAGGACCATGACCTGAGCCGAAGGCAGACGCTTCACCGACTGAGCTGCCCAGGTGCCCCCCAGCTGGTTTGTTTCTTGAGTAACTCCTATCACTTTGGGCCTGCACTTGTTAGATCACCAGTGAGTGACTGGCTTCCTGTGGCCGCCTCACTGGCCTCATTCTAGCTCCCCGGCCTGTTGACTGCTGCTTCCTCCTTGACACACCGGCTTGGTCTAAGTGATGCCTCCAGGTTCTCGCAAAGCTTTGTTTCTGACTTTTTATTCTTTTTATAGGCTCTTCTTGCGCTACCTGACTCCCCAGATTTAAACACAGATTCTAAAACCTCTATCTCTACTCCAGTTCTCTCTCCTAAATGTTGCAGCTGCCTTTAGGTATCTCATAGCCAGCATTTCTAAAACTAAAACTGTCTACCCTCAACACCTATTTCTTTTCTCCCTTCCCTGATCAGTTTTACGGCATCACTCCTGCTCTGTGACTAGCTAGCTACCTTGGTATGAATTGTCCTTACCTTCCTGTCAGGGGTTTAGGAATTCTTGGCCTCTAGCCTTTGTGGCCATTCCCAGTGCCATGCTCTACCCCGGGTCTTTTCTTAGTTGCAGGGACACCATTCACCATCCCCACTCTCACCTCCCGAGTCATTGATTCCCTTGGTAAACATGAGTGCTTGTGAGCAGCATTAGCTAGGTACAAAGTAGACTGTGCCCTGCCCTCACAGCACTTAGGGCGCCCTGAATGACTACAGGGTTTGCCTTGGAAACTAAAGGATCAGGGGCGCCATCTGCTGAGATGGAGTGATGGTATTGTTGGAAGGACTTTCTTCCTGGACAAAGTAAATTTGAAAACCTGGAAAACATCCATTTTCCAAATTGTTTCTATAATAATACATCTGATTCTGGCATGGTATTTATTTAATAGTGTGGGTTCTGCTGTCACACTGTCCTGGTTTAAATCCAGGCCACTGTTTAATAGTCGTGGACTTTGGGCAGGTTACTTAGCGGTCATCCTTAGCTCTCTTGCATGTAAAATGGTAACCTTAGGTGCCTGGGTGGCTCAGTCGGTTAAGTGTCTGACTCTTGTTTCTGTTCAGGTCATGATCTCAGGGTTGTGAGGTCGATCCCCACGTTGGGCTCTTGCTTAGCATGGAGTTTGCTTGCGATTCTCTCCTTCTCCCTCTGCCCCTCATGCTTGTGTGCGTGTGCGCGTGGGCACCCACGCTCTCAGATCTTTAAAAATAATAAATAAATGGTAACCTTAATAATACCTTCCCACTTCTTGGGCGATGGGACTGTTAAATGAACTATGTTGGAAAGCAGTGTTTTGCACATAGTACAAGGAACGTCTGGGCTTCAGCTTTGGTCAGCCTTATTATTAATCCGGTGGCCTCTATCCCCTGCAGTATCAGGAACACTGTAGTCTGTGAAGGCTTCCTTTCCTGCAACCCACACTGGTCTGCTGGGAATGCCCTCTGCTTCCCACCTCATTCTCTGGTGACATCCAGCCCCTTGGTAGATTTCCCTAAGGCCAGCCTTCCAACTTCCTGTGCCCTCTGACCACTTAACTCTTACTATGCCCAGACGAAGCAAACAGATTTGGAACGGATTGCTGGACTGGCCTTGGGCGTGGAGAGTGAGAACGAGCCAGGGGAGCTCCCGGGTGGTCTTGCTGGGGCTGCAGGGCTGCAGGAGGTGGGTTTCAGAGAGTAAGGAGGGCGTGCAGGCCAAGGAGTTGGGGTGCCTCTGGGACAGTCATAGGACAGGTCTTAACAACCATGTTTAAAAGCTTAAAAAGTAACCAAGTGGGAGGCAAGAGGCTTATGGCCAGGCCACGGTTGTGCATTACGTTTTTTCCCATTTTTCAACAGGCGGATCTCCTTCTCTGCCAGTGACGCTTTTATCAAAGATTCTTCTCAATTCTTTTTTTTTTTTAAGATTTATTTATTTGACAGAGAAAGAGCGCGAGCGTGTGCACAAGAAGGGGGAGAAGCAGCCTCCCTACTGAACAGGGAGCCCGACGGGGGGCTCCATCCCAGGACCCTGGGATCATGACCTGAGCCGAAGGCAGATGCTTAACCAGTTGAGCCACCCAGGTGCCCCCGATTCTTCTCAGTTCTAACATACACCATGAGGTAGATAACTTTTCCCCAAAACAGCTACATCATGGGTGTACACCCAAATGTGAGATACTTCTTGGGATCAGAAACATTCACAGGTATGTTAGATTCCAGAACGGGTGGTGGTCTTGTGAGTCCTAAGAGGCTGTTCAAAGCAGGTGGGCGGTGTTGGTCCCTGAAGGCCAGTTTCCATGGAAAGCTTACCAGGAACGCGTGTGCCGTTGTGAGTAGGGGCACCTGCGGCCCCGTGGTGTGGGCGTCAGGAGATGTCGTGCTGCGTGCCAGCTGCACCTCTGCCCACAGAGTGACACAGTGAAGAGATCATCCCTCGCAGCCGGTCAGGGTCACAGTGGGTAATGAGGTGGCAGGGGAGCAGATGTGGACACGTGCAGACCACCAGGTAATAGAGAAAGGCTCAGCTGGCCGGGTAGTCCCTCTAGAGGGGCTTCTCTTGGGGAAAAAAGGCCGGGGGGGGATGGATCAGGAAGGCTTCTGAAAAACCTTCTGGCCTCTCCTTGTCCTGTGTTTCCTACACGTAGCTCATACATCTCAGTCCCAACACTGAGCTGTCTGCCAGGGCCAGCCCTCCCTCCCTCCACCAGATTGGGAGCTGATGACTGGGTTTATTCATGCTGTGTTCGCAGGGCAGGAGCCATACTGATGAGCGAATGAGGTGGGGAGCCGGTCTTTTTCAAGCTGGGTTGGGTGCGGCATTACACAGCACTTTAGGCTTGAGCAGAGGGGCGGAGCTGCGCTATGGGCGGTGTTTTTGGAGGGACTGCAAGGCTGGTGCTGGTGGAATGAGTCAGCGACATCAGTGGCTATTGAGCCTTTAAAATGTGCAGCACTGTTCCAAGTGCTCTGCCAGCCCCTATAATCCTCACATACCCATTGAGGTAGGTGCTGCTCTGTTTTGTTGTCGAAGAAACAGGGCACAGAGTTTGGTGCTTTGCCCAAGGGCACAAGTAGGGGTTTGGAGGCGCCCGACCGATCCCAGCCGTCAGGCCCTGGAGATGTGCTCTGATTGCTGTGGCCAGCTGTGTGCGTTAGGAAGCTGTGCTGGCAGTAGGGTGGAGGGGGCACTGGGAGGTGGGAGATCTGTTAGGAGGAGGTAGCAGCCGTGGGGATGACTGGGTGGATGGATTTGAGAGTGGTCCTGTCTTTCCTGCCGTCTTAGCACTTCTCAGATAGGCCTCCTTCTGTCCAAGGTCCTTGTCCTAGTCCAGTGGTTCCTGTGGTGGGGCCTCAGGAGCAGCACCATTAGCACTGCCTCAGAACTTGTGAGAAATGCAAAATTTTGAGTCCCATCCCAGACTTGCTGAGTCAGAGACTCTGGTTTCACAAGCCTTCCTAGTGAGGCTGGTGCAGGCTCAAGTTTGAGAACCCCTGTCCTTGTCCAGAGCACTACTGCCCAGGGTGGGTGACCACAGAGCCTCCTCTTTGCTCTGATTCTCCCTGAGTCCCTCAGCCTTGCCCAGTGCTCAGGGCTTCTGACTCCATGTTTTTGTTTCTCATTTGCTCCCTTTTCCACTGCATCTCTGACACTGAATTTAGGGTGGGTAGCTTCCGCCTCCCAGTGGAAGGGCCCTGAATGAAATCCTAGGGCCTTTCAGTTCTCTAGCAGGTTCTTCACTTGCTGCTTTCACTGCCCTTCCTGGAACCTCCCACTTAGCTTCCCAATCCAGTTTCTTGGTTCTTTCCCACTCACCTGTTGCCAGTGACAGAAGTCTCAGCTAGGCATGCAGGGTGAATCAAGGCAGGTGACTCTCATCTCCTCCTCTGCATTATCAGCTCCTCCAGAGGGCAACAGTGAAGTTGTGGAAAGAGCCAGAGGCCCTGGGCTCTGCTCTGGCCTCAGAAACTCCATGCCCACCTGGTTGCAAGGAGTCTGCGAGGTCATGTGTGGCCGTTTAGATTCTCTTGCCTTTTCCCAGCAGCTGGCACAAGACTCTGGATGCGTTTGAGCCGCCAGAAAGAAGGGCAGGTGGTGGCATAATGGGTCTGATCTCAGGCTTTGGGATCAAGTGGCCCAATGCTCTATAAGAGTGCTTGCTTCTCAAGAATATGCAAGCAAGCACATGAGTTACATGCAGTGTTCAGCAAAGTACCAGTAAAGGATCGCACTGAGCTTTCTTGTTGATGATGTAGGTGGGAGCAGTTATCACCTTGATACCCTTGTTTTTCAGGACTTGAAGATCCTGGAAATCTACTTGGCTGTAAATTGCTATGCTAGCCAGAGGATGAGTAACCAGCGGATGTGAGAAGTTGAAAACAGTCAACGTTCAGCTTCCTTGCCAACCTCTGTACAGGTCCCTTCCTTCTCTGTAGGGTGAAGTCAAAGAGCACAATGAGTACTGTGAGTTTTATCAGCTTGTGAATTTTCTTTTTAAAGATTTCGTTGTTTTATTTATTTGTGAGAGTGTGCCCACGAGGTGGGGGTGGGGGAGCAGAGGGACAAGCAAACTGCACTGAGCAGGGAGCCCAACATGGGGCTCGATACCAGGACCCTGAGATCACAACCTGAGCCAAAGTCAGACGTTTAACCGACTGCACCACCCAGGCGCCCCCTCATGAATTGTATTTTCGAGGCTAAGCAACTACCTTATTTTTTATGGCACATTAATGAGAGTACCATAAAGGTGCCTCTCAGTAACCCTTGTTCTCGAAGGAAAAGCGTACAGGACTGAGGGCAGCTACACAACTTAGTTGTCTGGAGGAGTCCAGTGTTTTGGGTGGTGTCCTGAAGACAACAGTAATACCTGTGGGTTTGGAAATTTTCTATCCCCAGAGCAGCTGTCCGTGTCCTGGAAATGCCAGGGCTCTGGTTTATTTAATCCTTCACAATCCAGTGTTCCATTTTCCGTTCTCTTTCCTTTCCCTGTGTAGTTTTTGGTCCAGTGTGAGCATAGTGGTAATGATCCTTCGTGAGAGTTTTCTTACACTCAGTGACCAAAGTCGGTAAGTCTGTTCAGAGCATTTATCAGACTGCAGAGGCTGTGCCGTGTTAGCAGGTGTCCCCTGGAGCCCCTTGAGCTCCAGAGAAGATTGCCTGAAGGTCTCCCTCCCTAGTTTATTCCCTGCTGACCAGATTGCTCATATGATCTAAACTCAAAACAGTTGTTTTCTGAGATACTGGATTCGTATCAGGTGGACCAGCTGGGAAACGACAGCGTCATAGTCTCTCCCCAGGTTCCAGAGGTGCTGTGAGCGTGCGGGCAGGGTGAGACTGAACAGCAGTAGAAATCCTGTAGATTCCACTCCCTGCCCCTGGCTGCACCTCGTCCTGACCACTCCCAGTGCCTAGAGTGCTCAGAGCCCACCGTTGATGTTTGTACACAAAAGGGCCTTTGTTTCCCTGGACCTACCCTTTTAAAAGGCAGGTGACTTCCCACTCTGACTCCTTATCTGCAGATTGTCCCTGCAGCTCACTTGTAGGGAAACATGTCCTGAGCCTGGGCACCTCCCCTCTGAAGCCCATGCCTTGCCCAGGCAGGATCTGGTTAGAGCAACGTAGCTTATGTGACTGTGAAGAAGTTGGTTAAGCTTCCTCAATGGCGTAAATAACTTACGTGGTCAGTTTGAACTGAAGGCTATGAACCTCTCCTGCTCGTGCAAAGGGAGACAGCCACGCTGAGAGTAACAGGGCAGTGGGGAGAATCTCTGCCAGTGTTCTAGGGTTTCTGGAGGCTGGCCCTGAGCTAGCAGTCCCCTACCCCTTGCCCTCTGGGGAATGGGGGGGTGCAGGGCTTCAGAGGGGGTGCTGACTCCTGAGATGGTCAACCTGGGAGGGTGAGGGATAGCCTCATAGTGGAGGTGAAATTTGCATAGGTTTCTGAAAGCTGTGTAAGAATTGGCCAAATGAGGAGGGGGAGGAATGGGTAGTCCAGGCACGGAAGGGGTGAGAAAGCTGCCAGGGAAGAGGATTGCTGTGGGGTGTAGGGTAGATGTGGTGAGCAGGGAGAGCACATGTTGCTGCAGTGCCCATGGTGTCCAAGTCCAGCACCTCAACTTTGGCCAGGGCCCATGGCTGCTGCTTGCCCCCCTCGGTGGGGACCAGGAACCATACAGGTGGCTGTGGTGGGGCATGAAGGGTTCTGTTCAGCAGTATCTCCTAAGAAATATTTGGTCCTTTGCAGAGGAAGGAAAATACAAAGAAACTTCAGAGAGAAACGGGGAAAACTTAAGTAGCCCAGGTCTTCTGGTGGCAGCGAGGGGAGCCGGTAGACACTGGGCCGTAGACTCTGCTGAGGCTAGAGTGGCAGCTCCCTCGACAGACAGACAGCAGCTCCTGGCGGGAGAATTTTGAACAACTGTGGTCGCTTGTCTCTAGGCCCTCCTGGAGATGGTTCGTCTGTCCTTAGATTCACAGGAAGTTGCTAAACCCAAATCTTAATTTCTGACACTCCCCAGGCTGCCTTTTGCCACTGAGGCATGGTTGGAATACAGCAGGAGTCAGGCATCTCTCTCTCTTGCCTGGCCAGCACGCTTAGGTCTTGTGCACATCTCACCAACAGTGTCCATCCTTACAGAGTTTCCAGGGACAGAATGCTTAGTAAGGCATGCCAAGGAGTTAGGGTTGTGCTGGCATCCTGTGTCTGTGCTCAGTACTTGGCATACATCGTGCCCTCTCATCCACATGCCAGCTCTGCAAGGCTGGTATGGTGAGGGTTTGGGCTCCGTAGAGGAATCACCACCCCAGCTCACCCAGTTCAGAGCATGGTTGGGCCCAGTGGCAGTGGGAACCAGAAACAGGGAGCCGGGATTGGCGGGGGCCATGCAGGGTGGGAATAACAAGGTGACAGGGTCAGGTGGGAGGTTGGGTCTCTTTTGAGGAAGGCCGTACAGGGCGTGTTCTCACCGTGGGTTTTAGGGCCAGCCTGGTCAGAAGTGCTGGAGCGTGCTGGGAAGCCAGCGCTCAAGGATTGGGGAGACGGCTGGCTCGGGGAGTTTGGACTGCAGATAGTGCCACCTGAGAGCCTGAGCCTTCCAGAAGGCAGGGTTCCTGGGCAGCCACTGGGAACTTTGGTTCTTTGAGCTCAGGGCCATGATTGTGAGGGTATGAGCTGCACTGACTAGCTCCCTAAAGGTTGATGAATTCCCAAAGAAAAAACCCACTTTCCACAGTGGATGGAAATGTGGGAAACTGAGGGTCTTTGGGTTGAAACAACAGAATGGCCTCAGTGAGGCCAAATACAGATCCAAGCAGGGCAGGTCTGCTACTTTTGGTGAAAAGGAGGGGTTTCTGGCCAAGTCCTGACCTGGGTCAGAGGCTTGTATAAAGTTGTGTATCAGGTAATTTTGACAGACCAATAGTTTGATATAACAAAGTTTAGCTTTATAGAGTTCATGTTCACTATATGTTTAGGATTATTTCTCTTTTCAATATTCAGTGTTCTAGAATGTCAAGTTTTGTTTTTGTTACTGTTTTTAGAGAGGGGGGAGGGACAGAGTGAGAGAGGATTTCAAGCAGGCTCCGTGCTCAACACAGAGCCCAACGCGGGGCTCCATCTCACAACCCTGAAATCATGACCTGAGCTGTAATCAGGAGTCAGATGCTTAACTGATTATACCACCCAGGTGTCCTAGAATGTCGAGTTTTGAAAGGACCCATTACCTCAGGTTGGCTCACTGGTCTCTTACTCTTTCTATTCTTTAGGTTTTTTATTTATTTGAGAGAGAGAGAGCGTGCGCATGTGCGCACACAAGCTGGGGGGAGGGGGAAGGGAGAAGTAGGCTCCCTGCTGATCAGGGAGCCCCAGGTGGGGCTCAATCCCAGGACCCTGGGATCATGATCAGAGCCGAAGGCAGACGCTTAACTGACTGAGCCAACCAGGCGCCCCGTGATCTCCCTACTCTTCTTGATGAGTTGAGCCATTCCCATGTTGACCTTTCATTCTTCTTGTTGAAGTTGTATCAGTCAGGGGCTCATGTGACTGTTTCTTTCCCCTGGATACCCTCAGAGAAAGCGCCGTGGTGGCACAGTAAATTCTAGACAAGCCCAGAAGCGAACTCGGGAAGCAGCCTCCACTCCTGAGATGGCCTTGGAAGCAGAACCCATAGAACTTGTGGAAAGTGGTAAGATAGCCGGGAATGCTGTGACCATGGGGTGCTGGCAGGGTGCAGTGTGCATGGGTGAGTCCAGCACTGGAGCCCTCCAGCTGTGGGGCCTTGTGCAGGCCACGCCACCTGCCTGAGCCTCCATTACCCTCCCACTGGGATCGTCCTGATGCCACCGTGTAGAGTTGTCATTAAGGTGAACATTTAGCTCAGTGCCTGTTAGCTAACACTTACGTACACGGGGTAGCTTCTGTCCTTGTCTTTATAAGACCTGCGCAGTCTTGCACTCACCCACCACTCAAAACTGAAAGCTGACTTGAGCAAGACCTTCCCTCTTTGGTGGCGTAAGACCTCCACGGGTTTTGACAGCCACTCAGCACGGCTAACCAGTTAGCCTTCTGGGAATGTGCAGCAGGGGAGGGGAGACCTCCCTGGGCCCACCTTTTAGATTTGAAACTGTACGTCCAGTTCGCTTGGCCTCCTGAAGTACTCAGGCTTTCCTTCCTTTTCTCTTTTTCATTGAGACACAAAATTTCCCAAGAAGGTGTGTGTGTGGACAGAGCCACCTGTGTTGGAGGGAGTTGCTATAGGCAGAGGCAGATTGATTTTTTTCCCCCTCTGCCTGCTGAGGGACATGGCAAATGGCCTGAGTTGAGTCTCTCTGCTCTGCATGTACTGAGATTGTTTTAATGACTATGATGCCTGAAAACTGACACTTAGAGAGAAGGAGCTTGTCTTGAGGTAGATTTCATGGGCCCTTCAGAGAAGTGAAGTTCTCAATATCGTCTCTGTGGCTCCTGAATTTCACTTCTGTGAATTCTTAGAAGCCTAGAGGCTGAGACCCTGGCCGCCCTGCTGTTCCCTTCCCTCTGCCCCAGACTTGATGCCCTGGCGTCCGAATTCTGCCGTCCTGCACTAGAGGCTGGCGCGGGAGGCCCCTTGATCGGGACACGAGGCGCGGGAGGGGTCTCGGGCCTGACTGCTGTCCCGCACAGCCCTTCCCTCCCCACAGGCCGCCTTACCACGCGTGCAGGACTGTGTGCCACGCTGCCTGTGGGAGTATGGCTTTTGTGAGAGCCAGAAATTATGTCCACCAGAACGAGAATGGCTCTGTGACTTAGAGTATTTCAGTATATGGGCTATTTTTTAAAAAGGATGAGGTCATTTTGTATAAATTACAATCTCTGATATATTGTGGGTTTTACTCCTGTGAGACTTTTTAATAGAAGAAAATAAAGCAAATTTGAATTGCTAAATGTTTTGAGTTACTGTCTCCAAATAAATACCACTTCTAAAAATCCTACTCTCGTACTTCTGTAGTGCTATAATAAAAGCAAAAATGATCATAAATCTTTTTTTAGTTAATATAAATGGAAATTGTCCTCTGCGGTTCATTCTTACCTGCCACACAGAAGTGCCGATACCTGTTGGCACAGATCCTTCCCCACTCTGTCCTGTGCTCACGTGGACTCCACAGTGGATCCTAGGGCTCACAGGCAAGCTACAGAACAGGCCCAGCCCATTCTGGTGTGCTGGGAGTCTAAGGGATCAGTAAACACCACCCTGTTGTCCCGTTTGAGAGCCACATGGAGATGAGTATCTCACTGATGAGGGTGCAGAACTGAGCCTGACGAGGTGTGTGGGAGAGCGGCAGCCTCGAGGAGGAGGTTTAAGGCAGGTCCATGCCAAAGAGAAAGGCCCTGAGGTGAGCATGCCTGGTCCTTTCCCCAGATGTCCCCCAGCACTCCCAGGTAGGTCTCTGCCTCTCCCCTGTACAGGGCAGGTGGGGGCACTGAGGCCTAGTGTGACAATCTGTGGCCACAGGGATGAAGGGGTGTGTGTGTACACAGACATGACCCCCTCCCCTTGGTGTAGTTGTCAGAACCACATACCGACACTCAAAATGCTGAAAGGGCATTCATTGGTACTCGATCACCCCTGAAAAAGGGATTGGACCTGATGTTCTGCATTCTGTACTTCGAGGGGGTTTTAGTTTGGGATAAGCCTGTGCTCCATTTGCAATCATTTAATGAAGCTTAGAGCGGTATGCCTTTACTTTTTTCCTAATGCTTGTCAAAATGCTTTATTTTAAAGCTGGAGATGAAATAGTGGATCTCACCTGTGAATCGTTAGAGCCTGTGGTCGTTGACCTGACTCACAATGACTCTGTCGTGGTAAGTGTCGGAGTGGGACGGGTGATCCTTCCTGGCTGTGGGAACTTGGCCAGCACCAACTTCTGAAGGCCTTGGTCACAGGTTATGGTTTGTGCCGAAGAAACTCAGGCACTCAGTGACTAGAGCCCAAGATAGAAAGTATTTCTGGAAAATCCTTTGTTGTGGCTTTGTTACCTGTGGACAGTAAATCTGTGTGGCCCTGGCCTTTCCACGGCTGGCACAGAAGCCATCTGAGGGGAGCCCCGAGACCCCACCTCTGTTGTCCCCTATTCTGCACTTTATACCAGCTGTGTGACCTCGGGCAAGTTCTTAGCCTCATTCACTCTGAATAGGGATATGCCCTCCGTGCCAGTAGGGTATTGGGAGGGTTAAAAGTCACCCTGGATTTGAGTGCCTGGCACCTAGTGGTGCCCGGTAAGTGTGATTTCGCCCTCCCAGCCGGTGGGGACGAGAAGGCTTACGTAGCACTGCTGGAGGGAGCAGGCACCCTGCATCGCTGCTTGATTCCAGGGAGGATGAGGCTTGGGAAGCTGCTTGTGCCCCCTTCCCGTGGCACCAGCTGTGGACCCTGGCAAAGAGCACACTTGCCCCGTGTAGCCCTGGGGGAAGGAGACCTGCTCCAGGACGTGGGGGCATGCGGCTGCCTCTCTAGGATGCCTTTTGAGCGCTGTTTGGTCTGATGTGCAGTTCGTGGAGTGGAGCAAGTAGGAGGCAGGTGCTGCTGAGGACTGGGGTTGGTAGTAACGGAGTCTCCCCGTGGCCTTGGGGCCCAGTGGTCCTTGGCTTCTTCTGATTATGCTTACAATTTCAGAATAGGGTTACGCTGAGAAGCTTCAAGACTTCTTTAAAAGAAAAGAAGGGCAATGATGGGGAACTGTCTTGACAGATTTAGAGGTTTAGACTCTGGTCTTGATTGAAAACCACCAGTCCTGCTGTGTGTCTGCGCAACCCGCCGCACGCCCCCCCCCCCCGATACCTGTGGGCACAGATCCTTCCCCACTCTGTCCTGTGCTCACGTGGACTCCACAGTGGATCCTAGGGATCCTTGGGCACCCCCAAGGAATGTCAGCTGAAACCCATATTTTCTCTGACACTCAGTCTCTGACCTGCAGCCCTGGGGGGAAACCCGATTCTGCTTCTAAGACCTTCCAGCCCTCAAGGAGACAATGATTGGCTTCTGTTCTGTGACATGCCAGCATCATGAAATCCCCTTTCATGCCTTGGATTTTTTCTTTTTTTAATGACTAGACTGCCCTTCCTAATGGCCCCTTCCTGACCTTTCCTACCTTCTTTGTGTCTCCCTGGGCATGGAGAGTCATCAGGAGATGTAGAATAGGACTGGTAGGGTTGGGGGAGCTGCGCTGGGAGTGGATGGCTGGCCAGAGGCCAGAGATGGGGGGAGGGGGGACTGACCTAGGAGGTGGGAGTCCTGGTTTTCTGGTCCTAGGTATACTGGTTATTTTGGTCATAGGACTTACCTTACCATGGTCTCAGGTTCCCAGCCATAAAATAATTGTCTTGGGCTTTATAGCACTCCTGATTCTAACCATTCTCTACTTTTTGTTTTTTAATAAATTCAAATGCCAGTTTTTAAATTTACAATGAGAAATACATGTAAGGCTGAAGTTCTCACTCTAAGCATATCTACTTGGAAAAACTAATAGTATTAACTTAGGACAAGGAGCATCCATTAGGTGAATTTTAAGTTCAGGGTGACCCCAGGCCTCACCTGCAGGAGAGTGTGAATGGATAAATTATTGGTTCCCAAATTGGGGTGACCTTACTGGTTCAACCAGAATCTGTGGGAACAGGCCACGTGTACCTCTTTGTCCCTGCTGGGAGAAGCTAGCTCTGTACCTTAAAGACCGGAATATCTGCATCCCCCCATCCAGGCCCGACTTCAGAACTTTAGTGAGCCCTCTGATGAGAAACTTGACTGAGACTCTTTTTCCAACTCTCTAAAGACTCCAAAGCCTCCAGTGAATTAAGAGAACTAAAAAATACCGTAAGGAGTGATAACACTTCTGTACATCTCTGCTTAGGTATATTCTCTCCAAATTAACTTTTATTTTGGGCATTGCATACCCAAAAAAAGCCATCACTGCTGGATCCCAGGACATGTGTATCTTTGATTTTTACTAGATTAATGCCAATCTCTTTTCTAAAGGGGTTGTGCTTGTTCACATTCTTACCAGTGTTTTCGGTGCTCACCACCACTTTACTTCTGGCCAGTCTGATGGTTGAACACCTTTTGTGTTCATTGGTAGTTCATTTTTGTCTTTTGTGAAGTTCCTGTTAAAATCTTTTTTTTTTACGCACATGTTGTATGTACAACTTTTACAATAGCCAAAGAAACTGATCTAGAACGGAGCAACCCCTTGTCTTCTCCCCGCCTATTTGGTTGTCTGCCGCGTGTGTGTGTGTGTGTGTGTGTGTGTTCCCCAGACATCTTTTTAAGGGGGCTCTACACCTAACATGGGGCTTGAACTCACAACCTTGGCATCAAGAGTTGCATGCTCTACTGGCTGAGCTAACCAGGCACCCCTTTCTGCCTTGTTTTGTTTTGTTTTAGGAATTCTTTTTTTTTTTTTTTAAAGATTTTATTTATTTATTTGAGAGAGAGAATGAGATAGAGAGAGCATGAGAGGGGGGAGGGTCAGAGAGAGAAGCAGACTCCCTGCCGAGCAGGGAGCCCGATGTGGGACTCGATCCCAGGACTCC